GTCCTAAGGGACTACCCATGATCCCACCATCTACTTGTTGAAAATGTTCACCTTCATCTTCAGTACAGAATAATAACAGCTCTCTCAAACACGTTGAGGAGATAGGGAAAGAAGGATTACTGGAAGATATATGGTCACAAAGAATGTCAATGGTTTTAATTAGAAGTTGACATCAAATGAATACAACCTCTCATCTTTGATATTAGTATCACTGATATAATCAACAAGTTAGAAAGTATCTTTTAAAGAAAACTTACATAATTCATTTCGAATGGGAATTAAAGTTTATGCTAACCAATTCGCCAATTTATGTGTAGGTGAAAAGAATATGGAGAGTATAGGACGTAAAGGATTATTTGTTATGAATTTTAGGAAATTCATACAGATTATGTAGCTTAGACCCTATTGGTTTGAAGGAAGTGAATTATTCCTTGCTGATAATATTGATATTCAAGAGTTTCATCAGACTAAATGTTACATTGCATTCTAATTTTCTAAGGTGGTCTGATGAAACATCAGTCATAAGTTTATCGTCATCGCTAAAGATGGACATCATCATCTTGTTACTGTAATCACATTTGTCCATCACAACTACACCCGACTATTTAATCGGGTTTGAGAATGATTACATCATATCTATTTCGAAGTCCTCACTTACAGTTGATGCTTATCTTTCATGAACGTCTCGTGAAGTTAAACGTTGCCTCTCATCAATCTCCAAGTTGGAGAACATTACTAATTCCCAAATGTTTTTAATATTCATAAATTTCCATTTCAATCTAAGTAACACTTTAAAAGTTATGGATTCAGTTAAAATGTTTTTAGCATACTAAACAGTGGGAGTTATCTGAGATGATATATTGTCTGAAGATGAAGTGAGAGATGTGTAGTAAGTCCGTAGAAGGTCAGCCTAACTTTTGGTCCTATGTATATCATGAGACGTTAAGAGGTAGAATTTGTCAGTTTAAAAAAAATTTATTTTCCATCAGAGATCAGTTCTGACATCATTCACACCTTCCATCTCTAAACTACATAGAAGAACCGGTTAAGGATTGATGATGATGAAGTTGGCGCAACCGTGTGGTATTCTAATACTTAACGGGATCGATACCATTCATAGACCAGCGCATTGAATCTCTGTCGATCTGTAGCTCAGTGGTCTAGGTGGTTAAGTTTCACTTTCTAGGCTACAGGTTAGACCCTCATAATACTGAAACACACACGTGGTTGCTAAGTTACACTGACTAATACTATAAAATACAAAGCGTATCTTACTGTACAATTATTTGAGGAATATAACCTTTTGATGATACGGCGTAAGTATACTGACGTGAGAATAACTATTGTTGATATCGTAACCAGGTGATTGGTCTTCTTCAGAAAGGCGTCAACCTGCCCTGACATTCAATTTACACGAGAATGATCAAAAGTCTTGTGAAGTGGGTCATGCAAGTTGTAAGTTTCACTAAATATAAAGAAATTACAATCTAATTGTAATGTTCAGATATGAATGAATCGGTTGTACGATCGATAGTGAAGTCGTGGAATGTTGAGATAATGGAGAATATTTGTAGCTCAGGTGGATCGTCTTGACTGTATTGTGTTCTTTGAGCTGAGTTGTTTAATCATGAAGCTTTCATCGCCTTGCTAGACGACATCATCAGCACTAACTTCAGTATGAAGTGAGCTGTCAATATCTCTCCGTGAATGATTTAGTAGCCTGATCTGATGATGTGGTCTATGATTGGTTGTTTCCTTCGATTGTTGTGTCATTGATTGTATAGACTTTCCTGTTAGTTATATATGGAGGTGTTAGCTACCTGGACGAGGTCCAAGAGACGAAAGGAATCACTGGTTAACGAGTCTTATTGACGTGGCTGAAACTTGGTTAGAGTGGTGCAGAAGTATTCGCTCTATGACATCTTCTAAAGCTTGAATATTCGTACTAACTTTCATCTTCAGATAGCTTATTCTCTCCTACTACCTCATCTTTTTTAGTATCAGTTGTTTTCTGAAATGAAGACAGTTTTCATTACAGACTGGCATCAGTTGGGTAATCATTGAAAATATGGGAGCATTGGACAGTTGTTACGTCACAGTGTGGGAGACATCCTTGACGGGGTGATGGCAGCTGACATACTGCTCATATCAGTCGGTGTTGCTTACCGCCTTGAAATATATTGCTCATGAACCTGAAAATACACCCTACATATACATCTCTCCTTCTACTGCATCATGGTATGTTTAATGAAGTATACTGAGTATTCAACAGAAGAGCTGCGACAAGTTCACTAAATCCTACCTTTTATGCGTATTTTGTCGTCAAAAACAACAAACATTGTGAGCGAAGAAATGTTTCTTTTCAAGTTGTAATTAATTGTAGACTGACATCAGTTGGAGGAGGAAAGGAAACCTAAGAACATTGGATAGCCAGCTATTTCGTCCTAGTATAGGATTTCTCAGCAGTGCGCACCCAAGACCCCACCCTCCAGGGATCGGACCCACAAAACTTCAAGTCCCATGGCCAGGACGCTACCATTGAGCCGTTGGGTCAAAATACAATCGTCCATATTTCCAACTTCTGTTATGTCAGTTACTTTCTCATGAATGGCTCTACACTAATATATGTCTTAGGAAATATGGTGTCTTGTAGACTGCAGGTATTCTGGTTTTCATACTGGATGCGTCCATCTTTTTAGGCAGAACCGTTTGTGGATTACGAATTTAAAACATGAGATGACTGTGGATAAATTCCGGTGAAATACTTTACTTTTACCATATAATTTACAGTGTTACTATAATCTATCCCCAAATCGAACTTGGCTGGCTTCTGTTTCCAAGCAACCTTGAGCCACATATGTGAAGCTTTAACCCTTTCCTCCTCTTTTAACGCCCTCCAGAAACAATATCTCCATCGAAGCCAAAATTTCCTATTCATTTCCAAATTTGTCCCATTCACTCTATCTATTTAGCCGAAAGAACAGCTGTTCTTTGATTTCCTTCTAGACTACATTTACTATGATTAACGGGTTGACTTCAGGTCAACATTACAATAAAATTTCTTCGTCATAATAATTTAAAGGCTTAATTACCATCCTTTCATTTGTAATCGTCTTCCTTCACAAATAAACTAATACGTGAGTTGCAATTTCTCAAATGAAGACGTATAGCACAGCAAGCTGTTGTCCAGCAAATAGAAGGAAGGAGGACGAAATGATTAACGGCATTTCATAGTATAGAAACAAGTGAAAAATACCTCCAGAAAAGAGAAAAAACGCATTTTCCTAGTTCCGCGCGATAACCCATAACAAGTCCGGGGGATAGCTTTAAGTAACACCCTATTGGACATGGATTTGAAAAAACGCCAACTTGATTCGACCAATATGAGATGAGGTTGGATTCAACCAATTAGAAAGCAGCAAACTTTTAAACTGTGATTTATAGTTAATTGGTAATGACAATAATATGCTTTAATGAATTGAACATATAATTTTTAGTTGAATATATATGAAAAGGAAAGGATACAGATGATGATATTATTTTGTAAGTTGCGTTAGCAGTTAGGATGAATGATGTGTTTCTTCAGTTATTTCATGTAATGAGGATATTTTACTTTACTGCTTTTAATGATGAGATACAACTACTGATCATAAAGAAAGTTCTGGATTTATTTGTGAATGGTTGGCAGTAATCGATTGTTAAAGAGTAGCGAAAGCTGTTTCCTTATAATTCACTAGCATAAGAATATACTGGTTACCTCATCATCATCATCATCATCAATGTCAACATAGGACCAGGCATTACTGCGTAACGGTCTAAGTTGCCACACCTCATATCAGTACATCAAGTAAAAGGGAAGTCAAGTGGAAGACGAAGAAAAGAAAATTCAATACAATGAAATACAAATTAGTAAAAGAGAGAAAGGAAGAATGAGAAAGTGGTGGGATTCGGTATAGCGTCGTTAAGATGAGGATAATGTGTGTATAAGTCTGCTTCCTCTTGTCCGGCGGACCCCAACCGACTAGTCTGTATCACCCTACATGAATCAAACCAACAGTCAAACACTTCATACATTGATGCCATGTTTTAGTTTGTTCGACAGCGTTGAGCATTTTTCCAGCCTGAACCTACTTCGGTCAACATTGTGTGACGAGGCAATCGGTGACTAGGCATACGCAATACATATCCCAACCATCTCAAGCGATGAAGGTTTATAACATTGTCACTAGATTTATCTCTACGGGTTACCTAGTAATCTTCATTTTAACGGTGAATGATTAACTGTTATTTGAAGGTCAGATAGTAGTTATTTAATTTCGTTCAAATCTTTACATACAAGTGATTGATTGTTTTTCATTCATATTTTGAAGTTTGAGTGATTACTGGATGATATATTTATTGTCCGTTGAATAACGATGTGTTCTCAGTATGATATTGTGACAGTCATTGTTTTGACAAATGAGGGGAAAATACCCATCTGTTTATCTTTCAACCTAAAGAACTGACATTAAGCCATTCATATATGCAAAGACTTTACACTTTGAGGACTATCTTTTCTTTTAACTTTTCACACCTACCCTGGTAATGTGTTCTGCTTGAGATATTTGATAAAGAAGGGTTAGTATATGACCCCAAGGCAGAAAGAGTATCTGCATGAGGCTGGTCACAAGTGACCTTTTTAGAACCTTGAGATCTCTGTTTGATTGCCTCGAGTGTAACTATAAACTTATATCACTGGCACCGGTATTCTGTGGAGTTGAGGGCCAATGTCTTCCAATTGTCCCCTCCCATAAGGAAGACATCGTCAGCGTGACTTTACTAGTCATCGAACGGAAACGCGTTACTCGCTTCACCTCCTTATCTTGTTAGCAGTCAGGCTTTCTTTTCTTCTTCTTGTATTCCAACTATTCATCTGATCTTTATGGTATCAGTGTCGATTGGGTCGTCAGTAAGTACCCGTAAACAAGGAGAATGGACTATTCAGGGACATTCAACACCCGATGGAGTGTAACTGGACACCGTACCAGTTTGACCGAGTAGTCATATTGGAAATATGGTAAGTGAAATTAGATCAACGTTGAGAACTGAAGAGAATGATGTAAATGACATGTGAATACCAGACAAGGTGGTAAGAATTCACCTAGTCAGTATAAGAATTTGAAAAAGAAAAGAACAACAGAGATTTATGAATAAATTACTCACCAAGTACATATCTAACAGTAAACGTAATCACCAGTAATGTAAAAATGCGAAAGTAGTATGATTTGAAAACCATTTAGTAGCTCAAACTTGATATGTAGACCAAAATTCAAACTTGAATCACTAAATAAAAATCAAATACTTACACCAATTGGATCAATAAATTTAGTTTAAGGTTAACTGTAAGGCAAGCTGATTGGTTTATTTTTCAACCAGTGACGATCCACCTTCAAGGTCATTCTTAAGTTTTGGATATTATCATTATAAATTACAAACGTACAACTTGTTAATATAAACAAATAATTTATTACTCAGATTCAATGTATAGATAGAAAGGCTTAAATTTCTCCAATCAAAAGTTGTGAAAATTTTGGAAAATAATGTTTACATTTATTATTGTTATAATGAATAAAATATAAAACAGGATAAGATGATAAAACTATTTTAAAGTTGACTAAGGTTACATTTTTATGAACAAAGAATAGATGCATTTCAATACAAAATGTAAGTGATTTCATTTGTTAAAATGTTTTTCTAACGTCTATTCATGAAAGCTTAGAAGTATACAAGGAGTTAGATTGTTGAAATAGTCATTAAAAAAGCCCCTATGAAAAAATCTAGTTTACTTTTCTATCTTTATTATTGGCATTTACAATCATTATAGTTAACAGTAGAGAAATAGATTTCGTCCATACAGGATCCATCAGTTAGATATCCCCAGTTCTATCTAGAGGTTCATTAGTTGGAATTCATCATGGACTGATGTTAACTGGAGAAACATGGTAAACTTGAGAGTAATTGATAGGAACTGTCTCATCCTAACACGGGACACCTCAACAGTGTGCACCCATGACGTCTCCCATCCCACCAGGGGTTGAACCCACGACTTTTAGGTTCCACTGTCGGCACGTTTATCATTGGGCCACTCAGTCGGGTTACGATACAGCATGACGTACATCTAATGTAGTCCTTGAGTAACTGTCTTCATGCTTGACTGAATTGACTCCATTGGTCATGACATGTAATTGGAACTTCGGGAATCACCTCTCGAAGCTAGTCAGTCACCAATGAGCCGTAGATTAATTCTATCTAGAGGTTTGTGGAGCTTGATTAACGGATCTTATTCACTTTTCATTACCTCAATTATACTGGAATCGATTTCCTATCACTTTATCAAATAGTGGGTGATTGGTAGGAAAGTTGACTTGGTATTATTTTCTTGTATTCAATGGGTAATCATTTCTCATTAAACTTTGATATTTCATTAGATTAACTGGTTATCTGGTTAACTGAAGTGATTACTTATTTCTAGCCTAAAGATTATATGAATGAAAAAGTTGAACATTTATTCTAGGCTTTTTGTCAGGGAACGTGTTACGATGACGTTTCATGGGTAAACAATAGTACTAAAATTTTATTTTGTGGCTTGCTAGCTAAATGTATCTGCATTTCATCTTAGACCATTGAGATTCAAACCTTGTAGCCATCGCTTCAAACGCCAAGACGTTTTCCACTATACCATAGAGGAATGATAGCCACTTCTTGTACAACGGGTAGTAGTTGTTACTATTTATTGACATACTTGTTATTCTCCGTTGTTTGTTTTGTTGGATCGAATTGTTCAACCTCTGTTAGTATATGCACTTCTATGCAGATGCCTCGATATTGCCTGAATGTTAATTATGATAAATTGGTTGGTTGTGTCTAACAGGAAAATCCACGACGAGCGTTTCGTCTTATTTGAGACTTGTCAGCTGGATACAACTGCCTTCCAGTGATCGATATTGTTCCAACTAGGAATCAAAACTAGAAGAGATTGATCAATTCCGTCCAATCAACGACGGGTAAATATAAACCTTCATCATAAGGAGTGTCTATCATGATTTGGTGGCGTAGTCAATAGCGTTCTGGTATTTGAATTGATTGTTCTCGGGTTCGAGTCTTATTGGTAATAATATCACTCACTGCGAGGCAAGTACACCCATATGATGAGTCTTAAATGGAATAAAAAAAGCACACCCTGGATTATACTGAAACCCCAGGCAGTATTAGGGCATATTGAAATAGAATAGTCACTGAATGTAAGGAGTTCTTCAAAGTCGAGAAATGTCAACAGTGGAATTTCATAATTTGCTACAAGTCAGTCATCTTCATGAGTAGCTGATACTGATCATTTCGGAATGGCATCAACATTTCGAACAGCGGTGGTCCAGCATCATTTAAACATCATGTATTGAGACCGGTTCTGAACTTCTTCTTCTCCAGTGGGCTCTAAGTATGCATTGCTGAGAAGTAGCAAACTAGGATCAAACTGGTATCATGTTTCAATGCTTCTCAAATGTATGTCACTAGGTGATAAATACAACCTTGAAATCAACATGAAAAGCCTAATTTACTTAGTTGGTTTTACAGATTACAAAAAACTGAATTCAAACTCTCATTTTAACAAGTAGTGAGAATTATCACTGGTGCATAAAAGTAAATAACAGTTCAATTTCTAAATTGGATTACACTTGGTTGCCACGATGTCATCCCTGACACCTCTAGACTTTAAGCTACTGTTTCATTGACTGTATAGACTTTATGATAGCAAAATAAATCAGTTTAGAAGTAAATGATCTAGGATTTTCAATACTGAAGAACTACACATGAAGGTATAAAATATTCAATGTTTTGATTGGTCACGGGAGTACAACCAATTTCAGGTTGTCTAGTCCTGAGTACAAACCAAATTCTATCGATCATATTTACTATGTGGCAACCAAGTTACAAAGCTGAGCATCGCGGCGAACACTAGTAGACGTTAGTTGGTTGGAGGCAATTGGCAGGAAGCCCTGGACCTAGGTTGGTTGCACTCCCGTGACTAATCAATACATATAAAGCAGTCCTATAGGAAGTCAGTAGAGGCTAGAATAGCTCAGTGGTAATGTCGCTGACTACAACAGCGGGTGACGCGGGTTCGAATCACAGGCGGGACGTCAGTTCAGTCGAGGTTGCAGATACGCCTTGCTGACGAGTGTCAAGAAGCACGACACCTAGGTTAGGTAGGGGTTCCTGCCGATTTTCTCCGACCAACTAACGTATTCAAATGTTCCTTAGTCCTAGGCTATCCTGATTACCAACAGCCTCCCTATATCGAATTATCAAACTTTGACCGTCAGAATAGGGTCTTCAACAGAACAATACAAGGTTAAGAAGTGGGAAGCAACAACCAGTTAACCACTTGTTCGTCTATATGTACTATATAGCATGACAAGTCTATGAATAAATGACACTGAAATGTTTCTTTTACTAATATATATATGTGGTTCATTATCTTTCTGAAAACAATTTGCATATCACTATGTGATCTTTTTCTAGCGTTCAGCTTTACTCATACACCCGTAGACAAAATTTAACTTTACCGAATAATGGAAATTTATTATTTAGATATTTATTTTACCCTCGGGTTCCTAGTGGAACATACAGCTTCAGTAGCACGCCTCTATTTCACTCTCTTCTCTGAAGTCTTTTAAACGTATCTCCACCACTGCCCACAAGCTCTCATTTCTTCCTCATACCATCTCATCCAGGTCATCCTCAGTTGGGACGCCCAAATTGTCTTTTCCTCTTTGGACACCACCCGACGGCCTGGTATGGCGTGTGATGTCCCTTAATCGCTTCCTTAGTGTACTTCCAATCCTTCTCCACTTCCTTCGACTGCATATTTGTTGACCAATAGGTTCTTGCTTCATTGGTTTGTTGCAGCCACAGTTCCTTGTTGCTTATTCTTTCTGGTCATCTGATCTTCAGTATCCAGCCAATGTAGGCGGAAGCTGTTGATGAATGTCTGTAGTTTGTTGGAAGTGCTTTACGTGATGCGCAAAGTTTCGAACCATCACATAGAAGCATTGACTTGACATTAGTGTTGAAAATCCTGGTCTTGTTCCACATGCTGAGGCAGTAGATCTTCACGCTGATTTCAGATTAGTGAAAGCCTGTCTTCCTGTCTTTCCCATCCTGACTGCTTTGACATCCTGTCTGTGCCACCACCTGTAGTTGAAACGATGCTGCCCCCACCTAGATAGGTGAAAGAGACAACTTCATTAGGTTTCTCCTGTTGATGGTGATTGGTGCCTGTTTTCGTTGCTGTTGTTGGTTGGGTATCATCATCACCCCCATCTTCTCTACATTCACTTCAAGTCCCGTATTCGCTACCTCACCTCTCCTGTCAACTTGTTTGTTTTCGTTTGTAGATCTACGAGTTTGTGTTACAAGATATTAGACACAGGTCATCAATCGGCGAAATTCAAATCTTCTAGGATCTGTACCCCAGTCCAGTCCAGTCCGGTCCAGTCCAGCCAGCCTATCCCCATCTCTCTTCCCACTGTTTGTTGCATCATCCAGTCCAGTCGACCGCAGTCAGGAAGATGATGGGTGATAGTAGGTGGTAGCCTTATCTTACTCCTATCCACTGTCTTCACTTCAAAGGCATCATTATGCTTGGCATTGTGAATTAATTGACATGTGGTGTCTTCATATTGTTCTTGAATGAGATTGATAAATGTTTGTGGTATTCTGTAGTGTTGAAGCAGTTGTCAAATTACTTCTTAGTTGACTGTGTCGAAGGTGTTTTCGAAGTCGATGAAGTTGAGGTAGAGGAGTTGAGTTGATTGCCATTCTATAGTCTGTTCTATGATGATGTGTAGTGTTGGAATTTGGTCCGCACATGATTTGTTTTTCCTGAACGCAGTCAGAGTGTTCCGGTTGCAATTTTGAATCCAGCACATCCTTTAGTCTTTCCAGGATAATCCGGCATAATATTTTGCTGGCTTTGGGTGTACAGCAGCATGATTCCGCGCCAGTTCTGGTTTAAACATTTTAAAACTTTACCATACGCTGATGACAGTTTTAAGTAGTCAGAAGTGGAAAGCAAAAGTTTGCTCAGAAATATATCACTTATCGCTCCATTGTTGCTCTTGAACCTTTTGGATAGCACTCGCATCGAAAAACTTGTATATTTGGTTCCACAAGAGCTTGTGAACTGATATAGGCACATAGAAGTAATCAGATGTAAAATTTTCTCCTCCGCACTGTTAGATATCATTGGGCGACAAGAGAATACTAATCTCAGGGTTAATGGAAAGGATGTTCTCCTTACAGCGTTTGATATCCTCCTTTGTATAGTGTCAACAACAGAAATCACCTTTGAAAGTAAGATTCCTACCAATTACTTTTTTGGTCAGGGTGGTAGGATTCTCTCTGCGAGGTCTGAAGCGTGGTGGGAATCCATTTTCATTCAGCATGTTCCTTAGCAAAGAAATTTCCTCTCACAAGACAGTGTGACTGCGGATACGTGTAATGCCCATGACAAGATATATGACTGGATTCCATTTGTAACTTATGGAGATACCGTCATGAAAGTTCTTCAGCGCATCTTTCCACATTGATTTCCTGTAAATTGATCTTCTTCATGTTCCATCACCTGTTCTTGTTGGATTTCGAGCAACTGTCCCCCTTTAGAT